GGGTGTGTGTTCACTACTGTGTGTGTGCACTTGAATGGGTTAAATGTAGAGCACAAATTCCAAGTATGGGTCACCATACTTGGCCACACTTCACTTTAAATTGAACTATTATCATCAACTATTCCATATAAACCTGTCCTTACACAACACTTAAAAACCAAAACCTTACAATAGCTAAATGAGTTGGTGAAAATGCTTAACCAACATGATCTTGCTGGTTAAACTAGTCAAGCATCCAAAAAGCAGACCATCCCAGATGTTAAACCTATACAAAAGAAGGTAAACAAACACTTTCTCACACTTTTTTTTCCCTCAGCGCGGCAGTATTTGGCTTATACGTTGTGTGCATGGTCGAGCAGGACACAAAATTAATTAGATCAATTATCCTCTCTGGAAAAAGTTTAGTCAACATTCAAATCAAATTCAATCAGCCTGACTGAAGATGCTTGCTGCTCTTTTTTTCACATCATGGTGTTGAACGTAAGAGCGGTATTTATATTTTATATGCCCCTTTTTAATGTGATGCTACATGCAGGTTGCCAGGTGGTGTGGAGGCGTACAGGTGTGCATAATTCATAGGTTTTTTCTCTCTTATTTTTCTCTGCGGAGGAGGAAGAGGTGGATGGAGTCGTGTAGCCCACAGAAAGTCCAGAAAGCATTGACTCCTGCAATAGTCCAACATCTTTAAAAGAGCAACACAGATTAACATGTGCATGCTTATTTGTGTTTGAGTGACTGATGAAGCATTCAAACACATTGAAAGGCTCAGACCTCTCAATTATACATTCAACCGTCAGTGCTAATTTAAAAAAAGCCCTCTTCCCCTCTGTTGCACTTATCTTGTTCCTTAAGAATTACGTGGCCTATTTTGTGAAGAATGACCTCAATATTTCATTCAAAAAGGTGAATGTGGACTAATTGGGTGTATTTATAAAAGGCTATGACCTTTTAATGCACTCCGAGACCATGCACAGCTCTCTTTATTTCATTCTTTCTTTATACGTCTATATTATCATGTGCGCACACTTGAAGAAGTGGCGCCTAATTTAGCTTCTTACAGGAGCCAATGGCTCTTTAAGTGATTTATTTATTTTGTCTGGAGCCCTGCTGTTGAGGGTGGGTCAGATTTTCAGAACATCGGGCTCATACATTGCGCGTGAATCAGGAACGCTGGTCACTACTTGTGCGTTTGCTGTTTATTTGTTTTTTTTACGTGTATCCCCAGGACAGCTCAATAGAAAGACTGTGTTTTGACGTGTCAAAATAAGATGGCGATGCTTATTTGAGACAGTTTTGGTCAAAAAAAAGAAAAGGTCTACATGTTTACCTGAAATAGACGAGCTGCAGGTGTTCATCTTCAGAAAGTCCTTCCTCTTTGCTGCAATAAAAGGATGCATTTACAGGCTTGGTTTCGATGGGCAGTTGGTAAATATAAACTGAATCCAGCGCCGTTTGTGTAAAGCAGGTGTGCCCAAACTCGGTCCTGGAGGGTCGGACGTCCTGAAGAGTTTAGCTCCTACCCCAATCAGACACACCTGAACCAGCTAATCAAGCTCTTACTAGACATACTAGAAATTTCGCGGCAGGTGTGTTGAGGCAAGTTGGATCTAAACTCTGCAGGACACTGGCTCTCCAGGACTGAGTTTGGGCACCCCTGGTGTAAAGCATCCTGTTTTACGGTAAATGTACTGTTTTACGCAGTGGCAAACTGATTCAGTGCGTGAATTAGCTGTTCGAACAATTTAGACTGAATCACTGCTAATCCATTTCAAAGAACCAACTCAAAAGAGTTTGTTCATTCGCGAATTGGAAATTGTTAATTCTGATTTTAAAATAAGCATAAATGCTGAAAACATATGATAAAATATTGCCAGTATTATGGGAATCCCCTATTCCAGATAAAGATCATTAAATGGGTTTTGCATTAGCAGTTTTGCTTGGTAAATCGACATAAAATAATCCTAAATAAATATTTAAAGGTTACTACAATAAACATGCAGGAGGATCAATTAAGTTATATATATATATATATAT